AGGGAGCTGTTGCGACCTGACAAATTCCTTCTTGCCAGCACATGTTCAAATGTCACTCTAAATGGTACCGCTAGCTTTCATTTGCAAACATCTGAGAACTTTGTCAAACTCTAAGCGTCAGAGCCCAGAGAATTAAAACATTACCATGCATGTGCTCGTTGTGGAAGAGAAAACAATGAAAGAAAGAAAATTATGCACTAAGGCTCAGTTCTTGAGACGTTGTTAGTCATTGTTCAATGCAAGGTGCACAGAATACGCGAGTAGTTGTGTCTTTTTAGTTTTTTTTTTATGCTGAAAAGTATATACAAAAGGTGTGCAGCTTCGGTGGGGAAGCAAATCAATAGTAAATATAGCAATTCATGTCGCATGAGATCCAATCCAATCCATATATTCAGTCAGTAAATACAGGTCTAATCTAATCAAATCCTATCCGAAGTGGCCTGGGCAATAGCCATTATAGTGAACTAGAATATATTCCAGTGGCAGAACTGACTGGGCTCCGGCGTCCTCGTTTTACACGAATTCCACGAGATGGTGTCATTTCTACATTTTCTAGCAGCTTTGACTGCATTGTAGGACTGTCGTAAGCTCCTTTAAACATTTAGCTGCAGTTAATTTGAACTCGTGTGCTTGCTTTTTGGTTCTTCGAAGCATAAAACAGCCAACCTGCTTACTCTTTCACTCGGAGGTTTCACTTTGGCCAGATATACATATTTTTCATATTCACAGCACGTGCTCAGAACATTCTGAGTACTCGTAGTACATTTATTTACTTATTTTATAAGAGCGCCTGATTTTTTTCTATCACTCGAGGGCCTGTTTTCAGTGCACAGAGTTTTCCAAGCAGCAGGCGTAAGAGTCATGGAATTTGCTTCAAATCATCTTGGAATACCTGGAAAAGTCATGGAACTTTGAAAAAGCAGATTGGCAGACACCTTGAGCAAAAAAACACCACCTGAAAACGTGCACCAGAGGTCTGTTCGACTCAAACACAAATGACAAAAAAATACTCAGGGCAGTGAAGGCAATTGTAAATCTCGTTCTTTTTTCCTTTCCGGCAAACTCGCCGCAAAACAAACAAGTTACAGAATGCATTTGAAGAAATACTCTAGATACATTAAGGAAAAAGAAAATTCTAAAAGGCCTTAAAATTAAGCCGCGGTCGGCTCTGGATACCCTACCGCCTAACTATTAGAGCAATGGAACAGTGTTTTAGAAAGTGCTGTTGTCATTAATAGACATTTTAAAAGAACATTGTGGGAATCAGCTTTCTCTAATATCATTAAACTATGTGAAGAAGAGGCTGAGGAACTAACGCAGTTTATAGATTGTAGAGAACATAAATTGTAGATGAAGGTTAAGCAAAAGGAAATTCATGCTATGAACATTACCTTGAATAATTCAATGAACACGGCACCCAATTTTGAAACCCCAGTGTGACACCCAGAATGCAAAAGCGAAGTGGTAGACATATCGCAAAGCTTATATTCAGTCGATATAGATCTGCTCAAGCGCGGCCTTTCGTTTTGCCCCACTAACAATGCAGTGAACGAATATGATCTCCAAAAAGATATAACTGAATTTTCAAGACCTTTGCGTGTGAAAGCAGTTTTTTTTCTCGATAAGGCAGGCACAGAAGATGTTAGCCATGACTCTTTGCGACTGCCAAGCACCTGGACACCAGATACAGAACAATGCCAAGAGCTAGATCAATACATCTCAAGAGAAATCCTGAGTACAAGCAAATGGAGTCGGAAGCCAAAGAACTTAGCTTATGTAGAACACAACATATTGAAACCACTTTCAAACAGAAAGGCAATTATCATAAAACTAGTGGACAAGAGGGGTAGTATAGTAATCTGGCTTGTAGCAAAATATAAAGACAAAGCTGTTAGACAACTCAGCAACAACACCCACTGTCTAAAATTAGCCTCGGACACGACTCAAGAATATAGTAAAAGCATACAACACAACATAACAGATTTTCTAGCCAGGGAATTGATCACACCCTCCAAGCACCGGTTCCTCATGTCTAAAAGCAAGAAAGCAGGTCGCTTTTACCTCCTTCTCAAAATTCATAAAGTTTCAATGAACGAGCTATTTACTGCTGCAGTCCCAGGCAGACCTATAGTGTCCAACAACAATACACCTGAGTCACTATCAAAATTTATATATCTTCATCTATTCAACGCACCATCCAGCCTACCGTCTTTTGTTGAGGAAAAACCTCATTTCGCCTGAATAATAGATAACCTTAATGAAACACAAACACTTTTTGATCAGGCCATTCTGGTAACATTAGATGTGTGCTCTTTGTAATCTAATATACCTACAATTCAAGGAATTGAAGTGGTGTTAAAGTCACTAATAGAAAGCAAGCATACACATAATGCTTAAGTTTGCCTCTCATTACTCGAATCAGTCCTTGCACCTAATTGTTTTAAATTTGATTCGTGCTACTACCTACAGCAATTTGGCACTACAGTGAAATCTCAATATAACACACATCAGGGTACCGCAGAAATTTGGCCGTTATTTTGAAAGGTCGTTAGAGTGAAAGCTCGAAAATTAATCATAATACTCATTTTTCACTGACCAAAACGACTTACCTTTAGAGCTGTGCGTCGTTGAACTCATTTTTTAGGAGAAAGAACAAATCCACAAGTAAACACCAAAAAATTCACGTTTAAAGAAGTCTGTGATCTTTTTTTTTTTTTTTACGCAAGCAGCACAAATTTTCCATCACGAAGGCCTCCAGCTCATCCACATTCCTGTGGTGCGATTCGGTTCTTTGGTCACAACAGCCTGCTTTTTGCCTTCCAGTGGGCCGAAGAATATCCATTGCATTGCTTAGCGAAAACTGCTTCCGCTTCTTTGTCGCAAGCAGAGATGAACTCATTTGTAGTACCACCGCAGCGGAACGCCTACTTGGTTTGTGGACGCGATAAGTAATCACCGAAAAGAGATGAACACGACTGAAAAAACAAGGCCTCCAAAGAGAAAAAAAAAACTGAAGCGTCATGGTTGTCATTGCATTTTCCAAAGAGAAAAAAAAAGTGCTGAAAAAGAATTCCTCGTGTTTATTTTCTGCTTTCTTGCTGTCTCAGGTTTTCCGCGCCCATGCTTCCTGCTCCGCAACTCCAACTCTGCCTCGCTGACTTTGCCCTCCCGTGTTGCCCTCGCCTCTGCGCCTGCTTGTAAACCTGCAGCACGGTCTTTCATCCAGTGGCCATGCCTGCAGCGTCGGCATTTCAGCAAAAAAAAAAAAAAAAGAAGAAGAAGAAGACCCGCTTTTGGTTTTTTTTCTTTCACACCGTCGCGCGTCTTCCGAGAAGCCAGGCGTCCTTTCGCTTTGTCGGCTGCTTGCGTACCGGTCCGGTGGTCGCGACGAATTTCAGAACATAAGTTCATAGTACTGAGCGTTGTTAATATAAGGCGGAACAAAATAATGCTCAGTTATTCTGTAAAGTTCGGTATTCTGAAGTACGTAGTAGTGAAACAATTTTACATTGAAACTATTAGCAGTCGGTGCAGGATTTTTTAAATGTTCGTCAATCTGAAATGTTCGTTAATGTGGGGTTCGTTTTACCGTGATTTCGCTATAGTGTTGCAACCTCTTTAGCGCCAACATATGCCAAAGTTTTTACGGGACACTTAGAATTAGGAAATAATCTCCAGTAAAACCTTCTACCTATCTTTGCTACATAGACGACTTGTTATTTATTATATGATAACATGGCTGAAGTGAATTAAACACATTCATTGATCACTGTAGTAAGTTTCACTGTGGTATTAAATTTACCATGAGTCATTCTCCCTATGAAACTAACTTCTTAGACACGACAGTATCTATTGAAGCAGGAAACGGAGTTTCAAACCTATCATTGTTGGCTTCTTACTACTGGTTCGACAGCTGGGACTCAGCGACACCTGTACATCCTTACCTCCCCACCATTTCCATTTTTTCTTTGAAGTATCTGTTCTCCTTTCAGTCATACAATTCGTCATAGGAACCCCCTTCCCCTGCTCTCTCACACCCGCGTATCAAATGTTGCCCCTCCTCCTCCTTTGTTAGGATGGAGGAGAGGGTACGAAGCGTAGACACGCTGGCGCTTAAAAAATCGGTTCTGTTCTGACAATGAAGACGACCAGTCCGCTTGTCGAAACATTCGCTCGACACTACCCCTGTTTACAGATTTTTCATCATAAACGAAAAGTGGCTTGTGTTTCTTTTCATACTACAGGCAGCTAAACGAAGCATACTTTAAGATACAGTACATTATAAGGATCAATCTTTCTTCATTACATGTTATTACAATAGAAAAATGTTTGTCTTGCTAAGAAGTGTTCTTGAATATCTTGGATTTTATGGTTTTTCCATATCAAAAGAAATCTTTGAGGGTCACAAGTATAATATGCTTAAGAGCGTATTATTAACATGGCCAACTCTCGTGATCATAAGTCCAGGTGGGAACACTTTATTTGGTCCTTCATCAAAATAACAGGAGCTAAAAGCCAGCACATTTTCACTCTGGCTCCCTCTTTTTTTTTTTTTTCAGCTCAGTAAGGTTTATTGTGGCCCGCACTGTCTGGTGCCGTGTTATAGCAGGTATGGTGCTTGGCTGCTGAGCCAAAAGACGTGGTTTTGATCACGGCCGTGGGGGTGGCATTTTGATGAAGGTGAATTGCTTAAGGCCCGTGTACTGTGTGATGTCAGTGTACATCAAAGAACACCAGATAGCTGAAATTTCCCCAGCCCTCCAATACAGTATACCTCGTAACCATGTTGTAGTTTGGGATGTTAAACATCAGATATGTGGCCAGTACTATTGCCTGAAATGACAGAAGATATTAATTAAAACTTGTTCGATCTTTCACAATCTTTGGTTTTTAGGGAACGTTTAGAGAGTTGAACATTTTGTGGATAAGAGGCGATGACAAGCTTTTGCGAAAACATTCTTCACGAGATATTCACAATTCACTCTGCCTGGGGGTTGCAGGATAGCACAGACATTTGCATCGGGCAAGACTGAAAAGCTTGTGTACCAATGCATAGGCGACGTTGGACTTCCCAGTGGAAAGGTAGGGCAGCCATTTTGTGTTTTTGGCAGGGAGTACTGGGATGCACATTATCAGGGAGAATGCTCACTTGAAAGGCTCTGTAACACCTTTCTGAGCTTTACGAATTAATTCGTCGAGCGGGGACTCGTGACAAGTTTTTTCTGTCTTCTTTTGTACTGGTGAGCGGGCTGGAAACTACACAGTACGGGGCCAAAAAGACTAGTAAGGGGCCAAAAAGACATTCCTTAGTGCCTCACAACTTTGAGCACTTTTTCTTGATTTACTTCAAATGCATGATTTACTTGCAGTGTGATCGTGACTGTACGCGCAGATATATAATGGCATTTTGTGGTGGCTACAGTGCCCAATGGGCCACAAAAATCCAGTGGACATCCACCGGTATGCCAGTTTTGGACATACGTACATCCGATGGAGATCCCCAGAAATCCGCCAGCTGAACTACGATCGTCTGTAGGACCCCTAGGCGCAAAAAAAATTGTCGATCTGTCTAACGTCCGACGGGTGACAAAAACCATACGTTCAAACACAGCAAGGATCTGCAGTTAGCCCTTTCAGTATGTAAACTGGATGTACCTGGGAATATCGCTAGAATTACCGAACCTTCATCGGACATGCATTGCCTTATGCCGCACAATGGAACATTTGCTCCCAGAATACGCAATTGTTTGATGGTCCCGCGTAATAACTATGACAGGAACGTTTACGCGGGTGTCAACCTATTGCGCATGACAAGAACGAATGTTCCATTTTAGCTCGCAATTGAGATTACACCTATAATGAACACCTTGGTACAGAAGCATTAAACCTGCCAAGTACAATGCATTAACTTGACCGGCTTTTCTTACAGCATAGCATGCTGCAACTGAGATATCAACCGAATAAGAACGTGGCAGCTAGTACGGGGTGCAGCAATCTACATTTATTTTAAAAACTTCAAATGTCTTTCGAAAACAATAAAAGCTTTCACATGAAATTTCATGAAGATTGATGATCATATGATGCACTCCTGGTCCCGTAAAAAAAAGTAGACCGTCGGTCGCGTTAACAAGGGCGGTCCCAGGCCCAATGTCTTGCACAAACAGCAGTGAAGAAAAGCTGCATACAAGAAAAAAAATAGTAAGGTATATATGAGTTCGAAAGCATAGGAGAGATTGCCAATTAAAGATCTGATAATATGCTGTCATGTATTTGTAAACAACAATCAATTATAACTGCACACAGGCGAATCACGTATACGGCAGAAATGTTGCACTTCATTGACGACTGGCCGGCATAGTTGTAAGCATGCTTGCCTACAAGTATGTCGGCTTGTCGCTCTCAGGCACACGCCCACAAACATGAGCTGTAGCCGGCAGAAGGACAAGATTATCCAAAATAGGTCGAGTCAGTCTAGCTTACGATTAATTGGCACCGGCATGTGTTCTATATATAGCTGTGTATTCGACCAACCGCCAGCAAACAACTGTCATACTTACCGTTTTATTTACAATTTTAAAACGTTCCAGTAACGAAATGACGAAAAGCCAGGGGCACTTAATTGGACTTACCAAAAGAAGTACGTTACCCGAATGGACGATGTTTAGCTGCATCCTATATCAGCAACGAATTCGTAGCAAGCAGATCTGGCCATTGAATTGAAGTTAACTGTTGGCTAAAACACACAGTAGAACTTGTTTCACGAAACACTGATGCAAAATCTGCGGAAAACAGAATGGCGTCTATTACTTTATTTTGGATAACAGTTGCAGTAATCTGTACAGGAAAGCTGGACTCGCCAAGCGATGACCGCCGGCCTGCCAATTGAGCGACGGCGCATTGTTGCAGGGAGAGAACAAGTTTCACAGCCGCTGGATGAAAAACACGGTCGTCCAAGTTCCAACATGCGTGACATTGTACTGAGTCACTGCTTACCCAAAGGCACGGAGTGCCCGAAGCTGATGCGAGCTGGCATGTGCGCCAGTGAGCGCCTGCATTTTTCTTGCGTGTCGCACCTGTTATTGTATCGGTCACAGTTGCACGAGCTTGTTGCCGCAAGCTTCGTTATACGAGTGCCTTGGCTTGAAAAGAATTTGCCACACGCACATACAGCCACCCATTCTTTTTTTTAACCTGAACGCGTTAGCGTTTACCGCCCAGTGTATGAGGGTCTTATTAACTGACCACTGCGGCGAAATTATATAACCACGTGCATGCATGCTATTAACAGTCTTCAGCAATCGTCGCCTAGGCTGTTCTAGGATCCGGACGACACGAGACCGGGAATAGAGAATTAATGACTCAGCGGTCGTCCCTCGTATGTTCAGGTTAAAAAAATGGGCAGCTGTATACTCCTGCTTGCAGTGTGCGGTGTCAAGTCAATTATTTTGGGGAGGTTGTTAGTAATTGCATCATTTATTAGTAAAACCGACGGTCACCGCTTTTTTTACATATTTAGGCACTTTCTTGACGCAACCTTCTCAAAATCATTGAGGTGAATGTTGAACGCTGGCCCTCTATAGCAACGTTACTAGAACCAGGTCGGTATTGCAGCTTCGCGTGCGAACCGGCACGAGCGGTTGACGCGTGAAATAATGGCGCTGCGGTTCTGTCTTGCTTCACATACCACGCTGTGCATCGCGACGCATGTGTTGCCGCCTAGACAAGACAACACGTTTTCGGTGCTCTGTTGCTTCTTCGCGTCATTATTTAGTGAACTGTGGGGGGGCATGGGCTTGGTGTGTTACCCCCTGGCTATGCCCTGCATGGACATAAATTGCACTCTGTGTAACGAACCGGGAATGGTTGAACATACTGTGAGTGAGTGCTGGGATCCAATGTTCTTTCGTGGTTTGGTACAAAGGACCCTGAAGAAATATCTGATGATAACACCTCATGGAATAAGTTATGTTTCAGAACAGAATGAGGGTGGTGTTTCATATAATATGATACTATTACTTGGCCCTTACACTCTCTGGATAAAACGCATGGCCGTGAGGCACATGGACCCTAAAGCAAAATTGGCACTGGAAACTTTATTGAATGTGTAATATGTGCGCGAGATATATCGAACGTTGAATTAACCTCCAGATTGTATGGAGGTGTTTGAATGAATTGGTGAAAGTGAAGCGTTTTTAAACCATCAAAGTGGTGTGAGTTGACCAATGTGGTTTTCATGATTATGTATTTCTTTATTTCTGAATAAAAAGGTTCTAAAAAGCAGATGCGTGGCTGTATAGTACAACACCCGCTTGCTCCGCAAACTCCCCGAGTTCGACCCCCACTTAGACCCAGAATTTTTACTTTTTATTTTATTTGCATCTTTCTAAATTTTTTGGTCACACTCACGATGATTATTTTTCACTCACAACCAACGAAGCCGACACCGATGCCAGAATTTCTGTGAGACGAAACTCTTTAACGCTGTCGCGTCAGGCACAGATGCTGTGCTGCAAGGATAGGTGGCTGACTCACAAGTCCAAGATATGTGAGTGACATTTTGAGGTGGACGATAATGTCAAATGTCATAAGCACATTATAAATGGAAATGAAATGCCTTCACCTCGAGGAAAATGGGCGCTAGCGCCACGGACATTACCTCACATTTTTCCCGGCCTGCCAGAGTGCATCTCGAAGGCACATCTGACGACAAGAACAAGGAGGTTAAAAAAAGTGCTTGGGATGAGCTCATGCCAGAAAATGAAATAGGGCTGTCATGGTCATGGAGTCGGTTAAGTGTTTCTAGTGACGATGCATCTCCGGGCAGGTCAGACAACTCGTCAGCTACATCGTTTGCGCTCAATGAAGCGATGAAATCCTCGTTGCCTTCCGCGTCCAGGAGCCAAGAATTAATTCATGATGTCGTGTCAGGAATGACGTGCGGTGTTTTCTACAGCAGAAATCATGTACCAAGAGCTGCTACTACAAAAGATTGTTATTGTTGAAGAACGAGATGGCAGTTCAAGATTGCGCCCACAACTATTAGTGTTCATCATAAACACTGTACAGTGTTTACAAAGCGGCCCACTAGCTTTCTCTGCCTGTGGCTACGGAGGCCACTGCGAGCCAGAAAGCCTGCAAAGTTGGTGAAAGCCAGAAAACAAAAAGTTCCCAACCTCTCAAAAAGGTTTGTCCATGCAGCTGCAGCAAAAAAGAAGAAACATAAGAAGATCCTGGCTCTTTAGCGAAAGCTTTGCACTGTTTCGAATGAGGGAATCGAACATACCCTTGCTGAGCTTCCTCATTTGCTAAGGCCTTCAGTTATGACATCGCTTAAGTAATGAGTGTTCGGCAATACCCAGCGAAATTATTCGAGAAAGATGGCTAATACTTTAGCCTTCTTTCGCGCGAGAGTTTGCATGATAACTACGATTTCTTAATACCCTCGCAATAAAGATGCCTAATAACTATGCATTCTAAAAAAATTGCCACCTTGAGCAATCTGTGTTTCTATAAAGAGTTTCCATTATAGCACAGTGGCCATTTGGATTGAAAATTTTACAGGCCGACGAACGCTGGAAAGAACGTCAAAGATGCCCAGCCGATTACAAAAATAAACTACGCTTAAGATGAGTCACCAGAATAAAAGTACGATCGCACACTAATAACTCGTCCTGTGTACTTCTATTCTGGCAACTCTTGTTTCGTGCAGTTTATTTTTCTAATGTATTACGAACTAGCTCCCAAAACAAGCTTCTCGGGCCCCGCTGATTTCGCCCAAAAACAGCGTTCCAGGGACTGTTGCAATGAATAAGTAAAGAAATAAATAATAATTAGTTTCCCGATTTGAAAGGCTCCTGAATTTTAGTGATGAATATGAAGCGAATGTCTTACAAGTTTTCGTTTTTGAAGTCAAGTTTACCGCTCAAGACTCAGTGGCGAATATTAATTATCACAACTGGCGAGAGCTGCGACGACACCGCTGATCACTCGCACTGCAGCAGACGATGCGCGCAGCTTGAAGCAAAATGGCACAGCAGCGCCACTAGTTCTCGTGACGGCCACCGCGGCCACTTCGGAGAGCGCGCGCCTACGGGAAGCTTTGAAACTGACCTGGTTCTTGTAACATTGCTCTATAGTGCCTAAACAATGTCTTGAAGTACACGTTATGAAATACATTGCAATAGGATCTTGAATAGGAGCGCTCTTGTGTGTGCCTCCTCTTTGTTTCACGTCTGTGTTCCTCCCGCGCTCCCAGTTCGCTGAACAACACGTTATGAACTTCTTTGGCAGGTCAGGCTATGTTGGAGTTGTTAAAAATACTAATAAACTGCAAGCAAGCATATATGAGGCACTATTCTTCCCTTTTGAAAATATCTGTTCTAGGTCTTCTCTTACACCAAGACGTATACACAGTCTGTAGCCGTTTCAAAAAGTCTTTAAAGTTTTGTTGCTTGGGATGTCTCGTGCATGTCTGTCTGCTATCCAAATTATTGCATTCACTTGAAATCCTTTGTAGATACCCTTCGGATGTTCCAAACAGAAAACAAAACGTACCTAAAGAGCAAGCGAAATGCAATGGCCCTAGGCCGTCTCTTAGATAACCGGCTCCGGACGTGGACGTTCAGCTATAATTCGAATGTCGACCGGATTTTTCTAATCTATTGAATAACTACGCAGCAAGTCTGCTAACCACAGTGGATGGTGGTATGTGGCGCAGGAATTTGGGTATATGTCATTGTTTGTAGAGAGAAGGGAGAAAAATTTCTTGCTGACTTGGGGAATTAATTGTATACAGTTGAACTTTGGTAATACATCCCCAGGTTTTGCAATGACTCTCATTTCACGACGAATCGCTTTGATCTCTCAAAATCACCATAGAAATCATGTATCAAAAACCATGGTTATATGATGCACTTTTACGGCGACCCCACATTTTAAGATGACTTTCAGATTTCGTCGGAAAGAAAAAAATTGTCTTTACTCGAACCAAACATCCACCAAATATTCACGAGTGCAAAATATTCACTTGCATACCTCTAGGTTGACAACTAGAAAAGTTGAGAGTGAGTCTTCATAGAATACAAAATTTATTTTCCTGGCAGTTCATTCACTTCTACATACGCCTCAAATGTGTGTGCATGTATCCGACATTGTTACCTAGTCAAGCTCTATTCACATACAGTAGCTTCAGTTGGTCAAAAAGCTTGTACTTTCTGTTTTAAGTTCGTGGAAACCTTCCCTGGTTGACATACAACTGATCTCCTGTCTTTGTCACACTCGCAGTCACTGGCTTGCGCTTGCATAAGAGCACAAGGCAGCTGTTTTCATCGTGCATAAATTACTTTCACTTGACGTCAACGTTCATAATAACACCAGGACACCACTAGTTGCACCTTACAAGGCATCAAATTATAATGCGTACAGCTAAGTTGTGCACTAATGCATTCTAATTATTTATACAATAGTGTAAACCTTAATTGGGTCCACGCAGGAGGTCAGTACATATATACATACATTGATGAGCAATAGTTAGGAAGAAATGACAAAAGGAAAAACTACAACGAAATAAGAAAAGTATAAAAGACCCACGAAAAATGAATAACTATAACATCAGAACAGAACAAAAGTATACAAGATTAAAGGCAGCACTAACACTTTCGAAATACTCAATAACGTTAATGTGCTAAAATGCATACTTGTGGTCTGTAGCAGTTATGTGATAGTTATGACACTGTGTCTGACTCTTCGGACGACAGGCTGTTGGCAACTGTTTTGGTTTGGTTCTCACACGCAGGCAATTTTGGACTCTATCCGTAAAAAAAATGCGCTTGTGATTCGTTTTTTTTTTAAGGTTGAGAATAAAGATTTGCTTGCACCTCCTTCAACTAAGTAGTAGTGACATTATCTACCACTGGCAAGAATAACTTGATCACCTTCCTTGCAGAGGCACACGGCTGTGCCGTGGGCTTATTATGGTAGTCTGTACTCGGTTTTCTGGTGAGGCTCAGTGTCACTGTGTGTAATCTTAGTTTTTCAGTTATATGATGCCCGAGTTATACGATGACTTTGCGTGGTCCCCTGAAAGTCTTATAATTGAAGTTTTACTGTACCAAGTCCTGTCCTGTGCTATAATATAGTTTGGCTTGCGTGTTTTTGGGGGGCTTGTCTACAGATCGGCTGCATTCGCTGACCATGCTCAGAAAGTGTTAGAGGGCCCCTTTAACTGCTTTAACATTTTGTTTTACAATAAACTTTTTTGTCCATATTTTTGTGCATTGCTTGGCCAGTAATTCTGAAACAAAAACATTTCATTGGTTTAGTAGTATTACAACACCGGTCATGCCTACAGCCTTTTGGTGGCTTGCTTGTGCCCTACTGTTGCAGAACGACGTCATTGAGCCCAAAGAATTCACCCTGGAAAGTTTCAAGAGTTGTACCAGAGGGTCTGTCCCCGTAACGACATAGAGGAGCTCTTCAACTCAATGTGAGTTTGTGAGTTAGGATTAGAAAATCTTCCAGGCATAGGAAGTTGCATGAAAAGTTTGCACGAACATTGCTTATAAGGTTTGGTTGGGGTGTGACTGCAGCTTCTTTTTGTGCTTTTCATTCGCATAGTTTTTGCTATAATGATTTGTTAGCTGAATTGGTTTACAAACTTGACAAATAGTTGCCCTGTTTTAGCAGCAGTTTGAGGACTCAGTGTTCATGTGGATCGCAGCTGCGGTTAGCAGTCCTCGTGATGTCTGTCACCTACACTGTTGTGCAAGGCGAAGATAGCCATGGCATACAGTAAAAGCTCATTAATTCTGATTTGATGAATCGGAAAAACTGTTTAAATTAAGTGAATGCTGAATTATTGAGGGTATCAAGAAAAAATGAATGTCTATTACACAAATGCACTTTTATTTTGTTGAGGAATACTATGTAAACCTGAGAATTATTTCACGTAAAAGCAGTGCAAAGCCAAAATTTGTATTAATGGTGACTTCGTTCACAACATTAACATGGCTTAAGACCGCCATGACCTAATCCGAAATGTGCTGTCAACCCAGACCTTATAGCGTACCAGCAGCATGATTGTTTATGGTGCCTTTCTGAAAGCCCAAAGCCGTTTGGGCTAATGCCATTTTCTTTCATTTGTATTACATATTTGGGGCTCATTGCGCTCGGCGGATTGTTTGAATCAACTGGGTTATGGCCAAATATGACTGAATAAACAAGAGGCCGATAACATTAAACAATGCATACGCTGGCCAGGACCAGCAAGAACGGCCGAATTATGATTTTCCAAATCAACACAGGTTGAATTTCTGAGCTTTTACGGTAGTTATGAATTGTGGTGAGGGACATGGCGCAGTGCGAGTGTCTTTTTCTTAGAAGGCGCCTATGGGCTAAGTGGTGGTCAAGTTGGCATGGTCAGTAGTATTTTTTTTGTGTAAAACTCACGAATGCGAGTTATTCAATGTGGCATTTCAGTGAGAGCTTGGCAAAAAATGCATTTGCACGTTCTATTCTCTGCTGCTTCACTTTAGGAGCACTATAAACAAAGCACATGAACTCATTTTCAAGTGGCATTCCTTTTTTAAGTAAGTTGCACGCACTTGATGTGTGAGGGTTTGGCTCAGTGTTGGTAGTTGGTTAATCTGCCCTAACTTTTTCGTTACCACAACTATTCAAATCGATCATCTCTGATCAGCACTTTCGATCATGGATTTTGGCCTGTGGAATTTGTTTCTATTGCGCCCAGCACTTTCTAATAGTTAGTCCAACCACTCAACCTTCAGAATCAGTTTGAATTTGGCCATTTTGACAACATAGTGATTTTTGACAGACCTTTGTCAACCAATGTTTGTGTGTTGTTGGGAAAATGCGCTTTGGTGGTGAACTTGACAAAAACACTGCCCCTCATGGTTAAGCTACAGTACCATCATTGATTTGTAATTGAAAGAACCTTTGCAAGTGAATATCAAATTAAGGTGTCAGCTTCACAATCATACAGTGCTGAGCAGTAATAATTGCCTGAAATTTATGCCAGATAATAAATAGAAAGGTGCTGTTAGAAGTAAGTGAAAATCATTTACACAAACACTATTTCTGAAGGTTCGCCAAATCCACACATCGCTGGGTTACGATGTGCTGGCGCTGGCTACAGAGCTTCATCTCACGAGAAGAAGGCCACCAGATTCTGGCCTTGACTACGAAGCAATGCGAGACATTTTAGAACTGCACGATATTGTTCTTTTTTTTTAATACGATCAGTAAAAATGCAAAGAAATATGCCGAGTGCACATGTTGGAATTCCAATCTATGCGGAGTGAAAAGAGTGCTCATGGAAAGTTATGACACTTGACCAGCTAGTGAATTTCAGTGGACATGTGATTAATCAAGAAATTGTTCATATTGCAGGCATGCATTTATGTTCGATCACCTGCAGGCTCTTATTGTCGAAGAACAAAAAATTACAGATAAATTTGCACGAGGGCACCTGTCTCACAAAAAATCCAAGCAATGCTTCACTGCATGGCACCAGTAATGAAGCAGCACCTTGGTTCGCATTTACTTTGTTTATGTTAACAGAAGCTTTGTGTGTAAACTTCATTATTTTTTATACTGTTTCTCAGTTACTCATATTTAAAATGTATATTCAGAATTTTTTTTGTTATGAATACTCTTGCATATGATGTGAAATTGCGCACTGTACCAGCTGGCAACCGGAAATTACTCACTTTTCACATTTTTATTTATTCTCAACTTCTTTGCTTCCTCTACAACATATGTTTTTTAAAAATAACATTTCATTTTGCAAAACTTGGTATGCTTCAATGCATGCTGGAGTACTTTTCAAACTGGAAAAAACTATCTTTCCAAGACATATAAGAAATAACCTATTTTGCACGGTATTAAAAGAGTTAGAAAGCCACAATATTTTTATTAGTCTTCATGAAGGATGATTTCTTATCTAGTTTCATTAATTTCAATTTTAATTGTAATTTACTACACTACAATGAAAGACAGCATCTAATGTCTCTTATGATTTGATGAGTCTATTTTGTTGTGTCTTGGCATGTGTTAGGGTTCTATGGTGCAGTTTTCCTAATATCTGCTGTGGTTTTTTGCTCAAACACTGCCATAATTATTCATCATTTGAACCGAATATTCGCGTGTAGGCTTGTTATGCTGTAAACGAGCCCTCAATTCATTCACTTGTTTGTTCATTTTCGGTGAGGATATCATCCTGGTGTACTTGATACCTTCAGTTAGCATGTGAGGACTTGCTAATCGGCCACAACTTGGAAAAACGTGTGCTACTCGACATCACTTGACAAAACTGGTGCTCCACACTTGCTCATTCTCACAGGATTACCCGCCCGGAGATTTCACTCCTTTGCCAACTGCGCCAGAGTGTGCCAAATCAGATTTACTGTACTATCCTGATGATACCAACGTAAATTGCGCCAAACTGCGTCAAAGTCTTGGGTTTGGGGGGCGTCTGCTTCGGCAGTAGCCACACCGGGGCGTGAAAACGTGTGCAGCTTGTTCTTGGTCCCACCAAACTCACAGTGACGTACGAATAAAAGTTCTGCTGAAGAAACAGCAGTCACGTGTGCATCCCAAGTAATCTGCGATGCTATACTCAGTGCCGAAACGCCTCCTATTGCGTAAGTCGGCAAAGCGTGCTCTCTGCAAAGGCCCGTGACAGGTAGGCCTATTGGTAGCGTGTAAGCATGGCGGTGATTCATCGGCACTCGTCGTTCATTCCAGAAACACTGCTGATATCTTGTTTCAAGAACTGTATTGGACGTAGTTGAAGCAATTTTCACTAATAACTGCACGCGTGCTTGCAAAAAACCTGTCAAGTCTATTTCTGGACATAGCAGAATGAAATTTGAGACAACACTACAGGATTAGATATAAGAAGCAATATAAAATTTGCCATGCTTTGTGTCCACAGAAAAGCACATGAATGGTAGAAATGCATCAACACTTTTGGATCTTTACTAGAAGAGCTTTTTCGTAATTCCTTTCACCAGCAATCTGCATTTGTGATTGCTCTTCCGGTAAATGCCTCTAAAAGGCCCTGTCTTTTCAAGCTCGTGAGGGCAAGGGTCCCTATTCGAATTTTTCGCCTGCATTTTTTAAAAAGGTAATCTCAATGATGAATATATGCCTTCAAGTTACAGTAGCTACAATTCTCTTTTAATACATGCAGATGTATCTAGTGGGCCTATCGCCGATTTCCCTGGTATGTCCTGGTGTCGCAAGGGTCACTGTGAAGTGGCTACACTATGTCACTCGCCCTCCCATCACTTTCCAGAGTCAATAGATGACAGTTACAAAAAAATTGCAGATCCTTCGTACCTTAGGTATCGATGCTATTCGAAGCGTGCGCATGGAAGATGACTGTATTGTTATTTTTTTATTGAGCAATACGTCACGATGTGGCGCTAAAGATATATTTAAGGGTATGTACAAACATCCGTTAAACGTCCACATATGTTTTATATAACCAGTTTAAAAGAATGCATTGGCTGGGCTAGTTGCTTTATAATGTTGAAAATTGGAAGCACAAAATCGACAAGGACAGGAAGGGAACACAGATAGATAGGACAGGGCCTTGTCCAGTCTATCTGTGTTCCTTCCTGTTCACGTCGATATTGCACTTCCACATTTTAAGATATGAACGTTGAAACGTGAGTAATATTGGTGGGCGTTGCAGATGGAATTGAATTTTGGCCGTGTCGGGTATCGTTTCAGTGGACAAACAGACAAATGAACAGACAGACCGACCAAAATTTTGGCGTCGAAGTACCCCAAGAAAGGCTATAGTCTTTAAAATGCAGTACAGTGGCCGTTGAAAAAAGGGCCGAGAAAGCAAACGAGGCTTATTCATGCCGCGGGCGAAAAGTACAACACAAAGGGTGCTGCGAGCACGTCTTCGTGGCAAAAGGGGATTCACGGTGACACACCGCTGAGGGAAACAGGCCATCACGACTATGCTACGTGCTCTCACGATCAGGGAAAACCGGGCCCGATCGCTTGAGTGAGGGCAAAATTCGCTCGGGTTGGCTTCGAGAGGTTCGGGTCGGCGTAGTAGGAGCATGCGTGAAGACACCACACTGCTCTTTGGCCTTGCATTTAAAAGGGGCCACGAAAGGTAAGCGTTCGCCATGGCCACAAGGCGCCGTTGGCGAAGTCAGAGCGAGCCCCAAACAAATGAAGCTGACGAATGGCAAAGAAATGCGTGCTTACCCGTTGTTGTTCTGAGGGTTTCTGCGCTAGAGTCCCGAGAGACACTAGCGCAGGGCCACAGTCGGCATCCAGGTGAGGGGGGTCAATGCCACTCACGCTTCTCCAGCGCCGGCAGGACCGCGGAGGAGGGGGAGAGTCATGTTAGGACATGAGAACGGCAGAAATGAGCGACAAAGCCCGTGCAATGGAAGCGGGCTAGCCTCCCTTCCCACAACGCCCAGATATTGCCCAACA